TATGACTGCACATTGCTGAATCATGCAGGGTTTCCATATCCAGAAGTCCAACTTTGTAAATTGGTTTTGTATTTGCAGGAAAATCATCGGCTCCCGCTTTTATGTTCAAGGATTTGAAGTAGAGAAGGGGCCTCTTGAGTCCTTTGCGCCTCTTCCTTTTTTCCGATCAGCTCGAGATAGTGATGGACATGGAAGTCACACTGGCTCAACAATAGCTGGATCTGTGGTACCTAATGCCAGCTTCTTCGGGATGGCCAGAGGCACTGCAAGAGGTGGTGCACCGAGCACCAGACTTGCTATCTACAAGGCATGCTGGTTTAACTTGTGTAGTGATGCAGACGTTCTTTCTGCTATGGATGATGCCATTTATGATGGTGTCGATATTCTCTCCCTTTCCCTTGGCCCTGACCCTCCACAGCCAACTTATTTTGAAAATGCAATCTCCATTGGGGCTTTCCATGCATTCCACAGAGGAATACTTGTTTCTGCATCAGCTGGGAACTCTGGTTTCCCAAGTACTGCATGCAATGTTGCTCCCTGGATCCTCACCGTTGCTGCCAGCACTATGGATAGGGAATTCCATTCAAACGTATATCTCGGAAATTCAAGAATTCTAAAGGTGAGCTTGGCATCCAAATGCTTCTACCCTTTAAAGTTTTTTTTTAACCACATAAAGGTTTGTGCATGTGTGCACACACAACACACCGAAAAAACAATTAAAGTTGACATTCAGATATAAATTCTGCGATGACAGGGTTCCTCTTTAAACCCACTGAAAATGGAAAGGTCTTACGGTTTGATAGCTGCAAGTGCTGCAGCTCTCCCAGAAGTCACAGCAAAGAATGCAAGGTAATCTTTCTTTTCAAATGTTTGATGTTAATATTACTGCTACACCAGCTGACGCATGATATAGTTTTCTACCATGCTATATGCTCAGTACATGCTTTTAGCACCCAAAAGAAAACACACCTGCCCAGTATTATGCCAATACTACTTCATGTCATTCTAAGAAAACTCATCAGGTAATGGTTTTCAATATTCAAACTTTTTAAAATCTCCACGGTTGGTAATGAACGAAACCATAGGTTTCTTTCGATATGTGACACCCAGTACTAACCTCCAAATTTGTAATCATGATCAAACGAAATCTGGTTTGCCTTGGCCAAGCTAATACTTGAGCCCATGAAAACCTGTGAACCTTCATTATTTGCTCACCGTTAGATAAGTTCTGATTGTTTCTTTTATCAGCTTCTGCAAGAACAATACTCTAAATGCTAGCTTAATTAAGGGGAAAATCGTGGTATGCACCTTTGAGACCTTCACTGATAACCGAATGGACAAAAGCATAGTTGTAAGACAAGGTGGTGGTGTGGGAATGATTCTTGTCGATCCATTTCTTAAAGATGTTGGCTTCCAGTTTGTCATCCCAGGCACTCTAATTGGTCAAGAAGAAGCACAAGAGCTTCAAGAGTACATGACAACAGAAAAGTGAGTTTCTCAAGCTTTGCTTGCTCAAATTTCTATCAATGGAAGAAATTAAAAGTTACTTAAAAAATGTAAATTGAAAGCTACAGATATCCGACAAGTCAGTGATACTAGCTACTGAGAAGTCCTAAATTGATTGGAAATTTAAAAGTCTTGTTATTACAGGAACCCAGTTGCTATAATCTCCCCGACAATTACATTTCTGAAAACTAAACCTGCACCAGAAATGGCAGTGTTCTCATCCATGGGGCCAAATATCATAACCCCAGACATTATCAAAGTAAGTTCTATCAAATCTCTTAGTTTCTTCTTGAATATATCTAAAACATTTACAAATCAATATTAATGCCGGAATGTGGGTAAAAGAGCATCATCAGTGCTATATCCTGGGGTTATACTAAATGAACAATTAACTCCAAATAAATATCAACTATGAAAATACCTATTGCAGCCAGATGTTACAGGACCAGGAGTGAATGTTTTAGCAGCATGGTCTCCGGTAGCGACTGCTGCCACGGCTGAAAGGTCTGTCAATTATAACATAATATCTGGCACCTCGATGTCTTGCCCACATGTATCTGCAGTTGCAGCAATTTTGAAATCCTACCAACCTTCCTGGAGTCCGGCAGCCATAATGTCTGCAATAATGACAACAGGTCACTGCATTTAAAATTTTTTTCATTATACTTTCAAGTAGCTTAACAAACTTATATTGGGTCACTGAAGTTACGATTTTCTTTTGTTGTCACAGCAACTGTCCTTGATAACAGCAGAAGCACCATTGGAAGAGATCCAAATGGAACCCCTACCACACCTTTTGACTATGGATCTGGACACATTAACCCAGCTGCAGCAATTGATCCTGGACTAGTATATGATTTTGATTCCCATGACATTATCAATTTTCTCTGCAGCACTGGGGCTAGCCCTTTGCAACTGAAAAACCTCACAGGAAGTCTAGTTTATTGCCAGAAGTCTCCTACCCCTTCCTACAATTTTAACTATCCTTCGATTGGTGTGTCAAAAATGAATGGAAGGGTATCTGTTCGCCGAACCGTTACTTATTATGGTAAAGGCTCAACAGTATATGTTGCCAATGTAGATTATCCAGCAGGTGTGAATGTTACAGTTGCACCATCAAAACTCAAGTTTACAAAAACCGGGGAAAAGATGTCTTTTAGGGTAGATTTTGCTGCCTTCAAAAACAGTAATGGAAGCTTCGTGTTTGGAGCTTTGACATGGAGCAATGGTATTCAAAAGGTTAGGAGTCCTATTGGTCTCAATGTGATTTCAGCATAGGAGCAAGAGTTCTAGAGCTTCTTTTTTTTCTTTCAAGATACTATATCTAGATGATGGTTTGAACTTGTCGATTGTCCCATCAAAAGCTACAAGGAGAAATGTACTTGTGTAGTATATCAAAAGTTCATAGTCACTTCCTTTCCTATGGACTTGTATATCTATGGTTTCAGATTAAATACAATCCGATATGTATGAGGCATTGAGAAATCATAGTTCCCACCCCCCATTTCGTAAGTGGCATGCTGAATTTGTGGATTGCCAAAATATACAACACTGCAAGTGCAAGAAAGTTAAGCATCTCATTAGCTTCATGATAAATGCAAAAAAGTTATCATGTAATTGTTATTCTTTCCTCGTACTTTCGTCGGTTAGGTAGGGTGGGGGAAGGACTAAATCTTTATACTATGTTTCAAATTCTTGTAATTTTTGAAAATTAAGGTTTCATCCCCGAAACATCAATTATAGGAAATCCTTATCTGATCACTTTTAACAGCAATAAGAATACAGTGAATGCAAGTCTGTGCTAAGCTTGGAACTGTAACTGTAAGAGGCAACTTTCAAGGCAAAAACAATGCAAGATCCAAGACCTAACAAAGTCCACTAAGTTTATCATAATAGATATCCACACTCATGAAGTTTCTGTCAAAATCGTTATGCAGTTGCAACTTAGAAAGCAACGAGCAAAAGCTGTTCAATATGTCTAAGGCTTTAATAATGGAATTGACGCAGGACTTTAACAAAAGAATATGAAGCTGCTAAAGAAGAGATTATGCAGTAGTACCATATTACTCCATGGATAACCACCCAAGTATTTCAACTTGCTAAGAAGTCGGAAAATGGATCACATGACCAAATACATCAGAAAACAAAAGTCATGTAACGACTTTGTGGACTTGAATTGATTGTGAGAATGCTACCTAGGTTGAAGAAAGAAAGTTAAGAGAACAAAGTTGTGCTATCTAGCATTGTACAAAATTAATTGGTGCTGTCACATGCCTTCTACAACATGAGTGGTAGCAAAGAAAATTTCATGAGACTGTTGATCTGGTCTTCTTTTATTTATTTATTTATTTTTTTTATGAAAAGGCAACAATGACCAGTTAGCTCATAAGCTAGTGGTAAAGAGGTTCCAAATTTGAATTTCCGTTTCTCTGTTGATAAAAGAAGAATACAAATGAGTTCCCAAATTAACCCAAAAAAAGAGAAGAAAACGAACTTTAACAACAACAGACAACTGTTATCCTAACTGTAATTGTCGACAAAGAGCTGTTTCCCAATCCAAATATCCAGCAACCAAAGTCCGAACTGACGACCAAAATCTGATTCTCACCCAAATTTCCTCCACTGCCACACCTTCATACTGCTATCCTCCTATTTTGTTCCATCCGAATAACTTTGAAAAACAGCTAACAGCATATACCCCTAAAGAGCTTTTGCTTTCTTACCCCTACCTATGCTTCTCAGAGAGCAAAGCAACACAACTCCTTGGGAAGACCCAGCTTACATTGGCTTCCCTATACAATCTCCACCACATATTTAGAAACACATTATCCACATTCCCTCCACCCTCTTCTTTGCACAAAATGCATCAATGAGGTGAAAGACACATATAAGGCCTTCTTTTGATCACATAACAAGTATTAACCCTCCTGTGAGTTAGTCCATGCCAAGACTTTTACTTTAGGTGGAACCCTTGCTTTCCAGATCTGCCCAAAAGGTTGGAAAGATAGGGAATCCTGCCTGTGACACAAAAGCCAAACACAAGACTTACATAAGGACTCCCCTGAAGTTTCTAGCCTCACTTTCTTGCATCAACCCCATTTGGCAATAGACACACATTTTCTAATAACAGTAACATTGCAGAAAGCTCCTCCATCTCAATTTCATTCAGATTTCTTCTTATCTTGAAATCCCACTGATGTAGGATCATGTAGCAATCAACAGTTATCTTGGTATGTAAACCTTGGTATGTGGCGCTTCTTTATTTTATGAGAAAAACCATTGGGTCACTCACCATAAAAATCTATTAAAAAAATACACCTGCTAGATGCATGGTGTGCTAAATTCTCCATTTAAGTTAGGAGTTCAATTCTCACTGCCACCATGATGAAAATTTCGTAGCACAAGAAGCCATGCTGCTGCTTTGCTTAAAGGTATTTTGATGACTTAAGAAACCTTTCAAAACTTCATGTTAAACCCATTTCCCAAATGAGGAGTCACCAATAGTCTCCACAAGAGCATAAACCATCCTTAAAGTGGTGGAATCGATTTGAATCCCTGACAACAATATCTCTTGCTTCAATCACCGAAATTAACTTAATAACTGCGTGACAGTCTCCACATACTCTAAGATTTTTCAGAATCTGGATAGTAGACCCTGGAGGTTTGGCAATCAATCCAAAAGCAATTGCTAGCCTTTCACTGTGTTGAGAAAGAAAGGCTGCTTTGTGTTCCTCTTCAACATCATGAAGCACATAATTTGTGTCCGGCTGGTAACCCATATCACTCAATCGGTTATTTAACTCTTCAAGTTTTGAATATATAAGGTCTGACATGGGATGTGAAAGGTCACCAGCCAAAAATGAGTAGGTCTTGTTCTTCACCTCAATCCAGCTATACCCGGGTTGCTTTTTCACGTTTCTCTCATCCATCAGTTTCCTCACTTTAGCTCTCTCTTGCCAGTTTCCAGCTGCGGCATAGATATTGGACAGGAGAACATATGCGGCAGAGTCTTGTGGCTGAAGCGCAATGAGCTTTTCTGCCGCGAGTTTTCCCAGCTCTATGTTGCGGTGAATACGACAAGCACCCAAGAGAGCTCGCCATGCATTTGCACCAGCTTCGAATGGCATTCCATTTATGATATCCATGGCCTTTTCAAGATTTCCTGCTCGGCTGTATAGATCAACCATACAAGAATAGTGCTCCATTGTTGGATCGATATGGTAATCTTGGACCATAATATTGAAGTATTTTTTACCTTCATCTACTAAGCCTGCATGAGTACAGGCAGAGATCATGATAATGAATGTTATACCGTCCATTTCCAAATTTTTTCTACGCATATCTTCAAATACTTCAAGAACCTTCTTCCCATTACCATGTTGAGCATAACCAGAGATCATTGAGTTCCATGAAACTAAGTCTCTCTCTCCTTGCCTCTTGAAAACTTCATTTGCACTCTCAATATTCCCCCTTTTTGCATACATGGTGACAAGAGCACTACTTAGACATAAAGTATTATTCAACCTTAGTTTAATTGAGCATGCATGAAACTGTTTCCCCTGCTCTACTGCTGCAGTAGGTGCAGCACAAGCATTAATGATACTAGACAAGGTAAACTCATTAGGTATGACCCCCTCCCTTGCCAACTGGAGGTAAATTTTAACAGCTCCCTCAGTATCTCCTATTTGAGCATATCCAGAAAGCATTGCTGACCATGCCACAATGTCCTTCTCATCAATTATATGAAAAACTTTTTCAGCTTCATGAACATTTTGCATCTTAACATAAGCATCTATGAGTGACGTTCCTACTGAAGGTGACTTCTCATAATTGGTTTTGATGACTTGTGCATGTACTTGGCCTGTAGAAAAAGAAGGGTGGGCCATAAGGATGGCAGAATAAGTGAAATCATTTGGTTTAACACCTTCTCTACTCATTTGACAGAATAACTTCACTGCTTGTTCTGTTCCACCATTCTGCAAGTACCCACTGATCATGGCAGTCCAAGTTACCACACTTTGAAAACCTTGCATCATAGAAAACATTTTATAAGCGTCATCCATTTCACTGCATTTACTATAAGCCACCATAAGTGCTGTTTTAATATTGCGATCAAATGCCAACCCACTCTTCAGAACACGGCACTGAAGTTGTCTTGCAAAAACCAATTCTTTATAATTAGCACATAACTTAATGATAGTAACAAATATCGGTTGTGTGAACTTAACACCTGCAAGCCCCATCTGATTAAACATTTCAAAAGCTTCCAAATCGAGCCCATTTATCACATAACCCGCAATCAAACTATTCCAAGTAACTGCATCCCTATTCGGCATACAATCAAAAACAGCTTTAGCATCCTCAACTATCCCCGACTTTAGATACATATTAATCAAAGAATTGCACACAAACGTAATTGACTCAAAGCCATTCTTTATCACCATGGTATGAACCTGACTTCCCTTCTCAACCATACCTTTAGCTGCCAAAACTCCAAGAACATTCACAAATGTATGCGGGTTAGGCTTATTTCCTTCTAGTCGCATCTCTGAAAACAACTCCAATGCCTGGTCATTCAACCCATTTCTTGCATAACCTGCAATCAGGGAAGTCCATGACACTACAGTTCTGTCCCCCATCTCATCAAAGACTCTCCTTCCATCTCTAACACCTTCAGTCTTCATATACATATCAAGAAGAGAGGTCCCAACACTGACATCCTCTGCACACCCAGATTTTACACATTGACAATGCAGTTGTCTACCCGCAACTTGATCAGACAAGCACCCACAAACCTTAAGAACAGAAGACAGGATCGACCCATTAACTCGCAAACCAGACCGCCAAAGACCCATAAAGAGGTTAATCGCTTCATTGTTGCGGTCATTGCGAAAATACTCGAAAAGGAAGTGATTGTATTCCAAAAGGTCTCTCTGGGGAGTTTTGTCGACCAGGTGGTGTGCAATTACAGAATTTCTTGATTCAGACACGCAGCTCTCCTTTTTTGGAGAGAAGGCAATCGCGTGAAGGTGGCAGAGAGGCTTGGTATGATATGAAAGCTGGTATTGTTTGAGAGTTTGGCTTGTGTATGACTGTGCAAGGGTCCTCAAAGAGGGCTTTAGAGTCATGCTCTCTTCTTACTTGCATTTGCCGCGCGTGAAGACGAAAGAGAGAACGAAAGAGCGCGCGCCCGCAAACGATTTTAAGCTTCAAACAGCTGCTTATGCTATGGGCCTTTGGCCGTCTCTTGGGCATTTGGGAGAACATGACAGCCCAAATACAAAGTCCTATTAGAAAACAACCCAAAATCTGAAAAATCCATCATTTGAATACCACATGATGTGGCAAGTAATGTATACAACCAACATCCAATGAAATTTGCATCGGGAAAAAAAAAACATCTAATGAGATTGATTAATTAATTGACATGACATGTATACCTCACATGCCAAATAAGTGGTATTCAAATGTGGTGCAAAAATAAGGAAACATGACTCACTTAGGGTAGGATAGGGAGACTACATTTATAGACCAACTTATGTACCACCTCTCTAATAGAGTATAGAAGTGAGACTTATTGTATTGGCGAGCTTCATCCAGAAAGATAATACACAATATGTTTTACAAATATGACCTCTCTAACATGAGCCGATTAATAATCAATAAGATTTGATGCCATGATTAAGTAAATAAATGTGGTTAGGATTGATTGACCATCTTTTTACACAAACACGAGATGACACGGCATGAAGACTTCGGAGCCAAAATATAAAAGAATGACTTTTCAGACAAAGTTGGGATACACAAAATTATTGCTCTAATGACCAATCGTCTTAATTCTGTGTATCCTTTTTGTTGGACACCCTATCGCATCTTTGCCAGCTTATATATCAAGAAAGAAACCAATAAACCTCAAGAAGTGACATTTTCATTATATTCCTATTAAAAATAGTTATTTTGTTAGGTCAGTTGGAGGCCCCAAATTAAAGTAATGAACCATTTCATTAATTCTTTGGTGTTCTGCTAACGGGGTTTAGTTTAGTGAAAAAAGGGTTTTGATTTGTAAATCAGAGGTTTCAGGTTCAAACCCCCATGACATTATTTGTGTGTGTGTGTGTGAAAAATCCCCCTCCTCCTCTTCCTTTAATTTAAACTATCACTTGTAATCAAAACAAAATTCTTTCTACAAGTCACAGCTACTATCGCACTCAAGATTTTATTAAAGAAGTTAGTTGGGCAGCATTTTCAGCAATAAAGTGCCATGCACAGCCCATTCGTTAAACTCATCACAAATGAACCATTCTTTCGTGTTCTAGCCAAGGACGTTATGTACGCCTTTTGATTTTCTAGATTTTTGGTTTTGACATTATTTTGCAAGATGCCTCTATAACAAAATCTAGCATTAGTCACAATTGAGGACATGCCAAAGTTTTGGTCATTAAAAGCAGTATTCTCACTGAGCCTCTGTTGGTCGTAGATCGTTGCCAAAAGCAGGTTTTAGCCACGAAGCTTTTAGGAATGCCTAAAAATCGTTCCCCAAACCAAAAGGGCGCTTTGTAGTGGTACTTGTCATCGACGACTAACATGCAAGCTCACTTTCAAAAGAAAAAAAATGAAAAGGACCATTTCAGCCATCCATTTCTGATGCAAGGCCATTCATATCCACCGTATCTACCATGGTGCTTCAAGTCTATGGCTGAAGACATTTGGCAGCGGATGGAAAAATTCTGATGCAGATAAGGAAGCATTAAAATGAATCATGGGGATAGAAAGCACTTAACTCAGTAGTTGGTTTGTTAATTTGGGTGTTGGTTCAATGTATGGGGTGAAAGATAAAGAATTTAAATACTTGTATGCATAGACTTGTCAAATGAGCAGTTGTTTTTGACAAAAGATTGTATTTCATTAAATCAAAGGGAATATTACATGACAAGAACTAGCATGTAATGTTCCTTTCAAATGAGTAGTAGTTGTTGAAAATTGAAATTGAAATTAAAGAGAGTTTTCTCTATCTTGTGCTCACAATTTGGGTATTCTTAGAATCAACAAGTTTGAGTGTATCGTGTTCTAAACGGGACTTGGTGGTTTGTGGTTTGTGTTTTCAACACCCTTGCTTGAGTGCCGTTGCATCAAATTCTCTCATATCTAGATTACTCACATTTGTCAAGAATCTAACGTGGTGGCGGATCTTTTACCAAAAAAGGGATACCATTACCATCATTCATGTATTTGGTTTAGTAATTTTTCTTTGGATCTAATGTCTAGACTACAAGGGGACTTGTATGGTATTAAGATCCCAACGGGATCTAACTTGTAATGTTTTTTCAGTCTTCAAAAAATAGATTTCTTAAATTCATAATATTTTCCTTGTTTCCTTTCCAAGAGAAAAAGAGTAATTATGAAGGTTCTAAATTTATTCACAACTTTTTGTTCTTTTATACTAACATCATCTTAAAAGTGCATATAAAAACAAAAAACAAAAAACAAAGTTCGACCTCTCGTGTATGCAAAATATTTGAAATTACCTAACATGTGATTTGCAGATAGCTTGTGCCGGTTGTCCAAATCCAAAGAAGTTTGTCAAGCAAACAAATTTTTCAATCATGTCGACAACCCTTGCTCAAGTATGCACAGGACAACAATTGTTGATTAATATACTCATTCAAATATTGTACATTATAATGTGAGCAAGGCTTGTGGAGGACATTTTTTATTTATTCATACAAACTATTATCTAAACAACTCTAGATTAATTTTATTTATAGGAAGGAAGATTTGAACTTTGGCGCAAGAGGACATGCTTATTACTTTGGGCAACTGGCCGAGCAAACGTCAGCAACTTGTGCAGATCTTTATGATATGATTTATTATATCCTTCTCATGGAATTTCTTTGTTGTATCTGCCAACAAGATCTTAAATGCAAACGTAGGGACTTGATCTTGACTTCCATGAATAATAACGCAAAGCAATGTTATTAAAATCCAGTTTTCACAAGGGGAAGGTGGAACGTACGGTGGATATGAATGGCACTGGTCATTGGGGGTGACCATAAGGGCCAAACTTTCCCCACCTACCAAAAACCTAAAGCGTCTACTTGATTACTACGTAGCTAAATATGACAATTATAGATCAATAAACTCCAACTATATGAAACATCAGCCGATTGGTGGAAAGTTCCTGAGTGGCTGAGATAATTAATCATTCTTAATCAACTGTAAATGCATAATAGTTTTGTCCTCAATTTATTCATTGCATTGTCTGACACAGGGCTGTGCGGTTGGACAGCAAATACCGGCGGTTTCCGACCAATATTTCCGGTCGGCACACGTTGACTTTTCCGGTCAATGACCGGTTGCGGTTGGACGACCAAGCCGAAATGCTGCAGATGAGGGAAACCAAAGCCGTCGGCAACCGCAACCGACCGATATATATATATTTTTTAATACACATGCAGAAGAAACTAGCCGTCTGCTTCCCACCTTCTCAGACTTGCACTTCATCATCGAACTCTCGACTCAAGTTCTCCTCGCTGCTCTCTCATCGACCTCTCTCTCTCTCTCTCTCTCCCCTATATGGCCTTACAGGCACTGAAGCCTCCTCCTTCTCCCTCATCTCTGCTCTATCATCGCTGCCGCCACCCATCTCTCTACTCTCACCTTTACATCTCTGTATTTTGAACTTCTCTGTGTTCAAGTCGAAAGAGGCCAAGAGCTTAATTGTAAAACATATTCTTTAAAATAAAAAGATAAAGTAAATAAACTTAAAACTTAATTGGGAAGCGGGAGGAGGAGGCGTGCACGAGAAAGAAAGAGAGGTGAGGTGATGTGTTGGTCGACAACATTATGACACCAACATCAATGTTATTTTTTTCAATTTTTAATTTTGCATTAAATAATAATATTTATTTTTAATATATTTTTTCTCACTTTTACTTTTCTTCCTTTCTCCCCACATATTTTTGGTAATTGGGAACTCATCTTCTCATTCCTTTCAAGCAACTCCACCCATTTGCCCTTAGCCATGACAAGGGGAAGCTAGGGCAGCCACTATTCATGTGAATAGTAGTTGCCTTTGCAAATAGTATTTTGTGTTTCCACCTGTTGCCATGGCAAAGGGAAATTACTATTCATTTTTTTGTTTTTTTCACAAATTTGTTTACCTCAATAATTAATTTGGATAATATTTTCGTATAAGATTTCTGGGTTCCTACGTATCAAGTTCATAATCGGATAAAATTTCCAATTATGATTTTTAGGTTCAAATTTCGGATGAATTTCAAAATTCAAATTTGAGATAAATTTGGGTTCAAATTTCGGATGAATTTCAAATTTCAGATAAAATTTTCATCCAATCAAATCAAGCCACATGGCATGTCTATCTTCCCAAAATTTTCTGTAAAACCAGAGGCTCAGCTCATACATCTCACAACACATCTTTATATATTTTCATTTCTCGGAGTTTAGAATTCATACTTCATTTATTCTCAATGGAAGATTTTAGGAGATGCTTGGAGAGGCAAGAGCGAGAAACAAATGAGAGAAACCGTAGAGCAAATGAAATCAATGAGTTGCAGAGACAAGTTGATGAACAAGTTGTCATAACAGTGGCTTTGCAAGATTAAGAGAACCAGGGTCGCCGCCGTAGTTCACAAGTCGGCCGCCACCGGAATGTGGACAGACATAGGCATTCTCATGGTAAGAATCTTTTGGAAGATTATTTTATCCAAACTTCTTTGTACTTTGATGTTGATTTTCAAAGGTGATTTAGAATGCAACCCCATTTGTTCAATAAAGTCATGCATGATATTTGCAATTATGATGCATACTTTGTTCAAAAGTGTGATGTTGCTAGGGTTTTGGGGCTTCTTCCGGAGCAAAAGCTTACAGCTGTTATAAGAATGTTGGCGTATGGAACATCTGTTGATTAGGTGGATGAGATTGCCCGGATGGGGAAGTCCACTACATTGGAGGCTTTGGTAAGATTTTGTGATGCAGTTGAAACTCTGTACACTAGGGACTACCTGCATAGACCTACTCCTGGGGACCTCCAACGGCTTCTACAAAAAGCCGAAGCTCGAGGATTTCCAGGAATGATTGGTAGCATCGACTGCATGCACTGGCAATGGAA